AAGCTATATATATATATATATACACACACACAGGTATTTATAAAAGTAACTCAAGTCAATGAAGAGTTTGAAGATGTTCAGGTAGAGATCTGTATGAAAAAACATATGTTCTTTTCAGTTTAAATTTACTGATCTTTTTTTTTAAAACAAACTGATTTTTAAGATTTTTATGACAATGATTTGAATCAAAAACTCTCTTTGATCTTTAATGCATAAGGTATTGTTACACATTTTTCATATATATATATACCAAGTCAGTAACACAAAGTATGAGATATTAATGTGTTAACTTCAGGTCAAAGCATGAAATTACGCCTCATTACAATTTCTTCATTGTTATTTCTGCATTTTGTTTTCTCTAAATGTTTTTCTTTTGTTTTTTCTCATTTCTATAATGATCCTAAGTTGTATAGCTGATAAACATACATTTCAGAGATATATATATAATGTTTTTTTGGAAAAACAAGTCAAGTTTTATAAGGCATTTGAAAAAATATATTTTTCTCAGCAATGAGTAAGCCTAATACATGTTCTATATAAAACATCTAATACACTCACAGGCTAGGGATATACCTAGGAAAACCTTTAAACACATACAAGAAACATCATCCAGACTTCTACAATTTCTACTACATGGTGATCTAGACATATAAACATCAACACACTAAAAACAAAATTATAAATAAAGACTGATTAGAAATGTAAAAGGCTCAAAACAGTTTTCACAAAATATAAAATCATTCATTTATACAAAACTTTAATCAATCTATATTACCACTTTTATTAAAGGAAGAACAATATAATTAAAACTACTTACCTCACTTTACGTTAATTCCACTTCGTCAGATGTCAAAAAAGAACTGATTTTAGGTACATATCAGTTACTTGTTAACTCAACAATATACATCTAGCCTAGTAACATCTCTAAATAACAACTGATCAATAATCACTGTTACCATAACAACAAAAGGTATACATTTAGTGAAAGTCTGGGTGTTGTCACAGGATGAACAAAGTGTTCCAGTTCTTAAAAAATCAATACATGTTATATATGTTCTGAATATATGAATACAAAAATATGTGTAACATGTTAATTATGAAAGCAGTAGAAGTTTGTATATTATACATGTTTTCTAGCCCTAATCATTAATAATAAAGAACAAAACTTTATAATTTATCATCAAGTGACATGGTTAAGACTAAAAACTTAAGAAATAAACATAATTACATAATCCAGTAGAATAAAAAATATAACAAACTTTCATAATAAAATACAAAGAAAATATTGGACCAACATCTGTATACTACCTAAGTACTGGACCAACATCTACATACTACATATATACTGGACCAACATCAGTATACTACATAAATACTGGACCACCATCTGTATACTACATAGATACATGACCAATATCTATATACTACATAAGTACTGGACCAACATCTGTATACTACATAGATACTGGACAACATCTACATACTACATATATACTGGACCAACATCTCTATATTACATAAATACTGGACAAACTTCTATATACTACATAAATACTGGACCAACATCTGTATACTACATAAGTACTGGACAACATCTACATACTACATATATACTGGACCAACATCTCTATATTACATAAATACTGGACCAACATCTATATACTACATAAGTACTGGACCAATATCTATATACTACATAAGTACTGGACCAATATCTATATACTACATAAGTACA